TAACAATAAACAACAACAATGCCTGTAGTTATGGACCAATTTTGAAGTGAGTTGCTACAGTTGTTGTTAAGTACCATGAAGTCAGTTCTAACTCACAGCGACCCTGCACAGAGTTTCCAAGGCTGTAAATCTTTATGGGAGCAGAAAGCCTCATCTTTCTCCCATGGAACAGCTAGCTGGTAGTTTTCGAACTGCCGACGTTAAAGTTAGCAGCCCAATTCGTAACCACTGTGCTACCAGAGAGTTGCTACGGATTAAGGGTTAAAGTGTAGTACTGGTTTGGTACTGTACAATAAGCTTGGGACTGCTAACCACAGGTCAATAGTTAAAACTCACAGGCTATTTCTCAGAAAACCCTATACAGAGTTGATATGAGTCAGAACCAATCCAAGGCCACTCAACAACAACAGCAAGGCTAAGGTTGGGCTATGGAGTAAGGATTGCAGTGAAACTAAGGATTAAGGATGCCCCCACCTTACTAGAGGGTACGACTCAAGTCACCATCCTTAGTTTCCCTTGGAGGCATGGTCTGACTCTGATTTCTAGGACTGCTTTGGAAAAAAGTCAATTTACTTGTCCAGGATCTTGTGTTTGGCTTAGTATGTCTGACCTCTAGTCCATGGGACTTTCACCTGACATGATTCCCAGCTGCCATAGGCTCGTGCATCAACAGCCTGCCTTCTAATCTGTCAATACGGGTTCCTCACTTCCTGAGACTACTTGGGTGAGAGGATTCCTCCAGACTGATCTCTGAATTATGGATTTGGGACTTGCTAGTCTCCACAAATGCATGAGCCATTTCCTTTGACAATGGTGAGATTTGTGAGATGTTGCAGCATGTTGCTGGGACTTGTGGGAGCGGGGAAGTGGTGTTGATATCAAGGACTATGGAGTGAAATAACATATTGGAAAAGTTGGACATGTGGGATATCTTTAACCTCCAACTCATAAGGACCGGCTTCGTGCTGATATTTCTAAAAGAAATCATTTATACAATGTCGATTGGGTTTCCAACTCCAAAGTTAGATAGCTCTTGGCAAATTTAAGAAAGTTTTTTTGTTCATTTGTTTGTTTCATTTTGTTTTGTTTTTGAATCAGTGAAACAATGGCATGATTCAAAACTCAAAGAGTAAATAAAGTATTATGTGAAAGTGACTTTCCTCCTACACTTTTTATCTCCCTAGTCACCCCATCTCACTCCTCAATGTCACATGATGTTACACTGTCTCTTTTGAGATATTTTATGCCCCTCTTACTCTTTATGAAGTTTTCTCAACGTGAGAATATAGGAAGTCAGGGTTTCTTGTCTTTTCTGGCGATGTAACAGCACTCAGGATGATTTCTGCTCCATGAGACTAAGTTATAGGAACTAGTTTTGAAGTTTTCCTCAAAAAATAAAACATCTGCCAGTGCCCAGTTTTGCTATTCTGCAGTTGACTGTCCAGACAGTTACACATGTTGCCAAAGACTTTGCAAAGAACAAAAGATAACATCCGGTGTAGGCTGATGTGACTATTTCTCCCCGATCAACTTTTGTGACAGGGTCACACAATTGCATTTGTTTTCCTGTCCGGTACTGTGGGCAGTTGGTATTACAGAGAGCGTTATTGCTGTCATCATAGGATGTTCAGTTTGTAGTAGTGAATGCTTTTTCACGTATTGTCCTGTTTGTGTGCTCTTCATTTACCTGTGCCAATGTGCATGTGCACACATGTACGTTTGTGTGTTATTGCTGTCATCATAGGATGTTCAGTTTGTAGTAGTGAATGCTTTTTCACGTATTGTCCTGTTTGTGTGCTCTTCATTTACCTGTGCCAATGTGCATGTGCACACATGTACGTTTGTGTGTTATTGCTGTCATCACAGGATGCTCAGTTTGTAGTAGTGAATGCTTTCCCACTTATGGTCCTGTTCGCGTGCTCTTCATTTACCTGTGCCAGTGTGCGTGTGCATGCAGGTACGTTTGTGTGTATGTATGTACATTATTTCTCAGACTGAAATTGTGAATTCCTCAAAGGCAGGATTCGAACACCTATACATTCTGTGTCTTCACAGCCCCAATTCAGGGAATTTAGTACATTGATTTCCTCATACTGCCTGACAAATCTAGCAACCATTCTGAATATCTCTCAAGTATGTATCTCAGTAGCGCTTGTGGAGACATGGTGTCTGCATGCAATATTGTTCTTGTCCTCATTAGTTGTACATTTTTCTAGAGAAACCGAGACTGGAGTGAATACAGTGATAAATTAGGATGGGCTTGAGGGGGACATGGTTGAAACACATTCTTAAGGATTTAGTTGATAGAGAATAAAATTTCTACGAATGATTAATAGAAACAAGGCCTGTGCACCCCCCCCCGCCCCCCTTTAACTTGGAAATCTACATTTCTCAGCCCTAAGATATCCCCTGACTTGAGTAACTGTACCCAAATAGGAACATCCTAGATAGGGCTTTCCTTGGTGGTGGTGGTTATGTGCCGTGGAGTGGGTTCTGCCTCACAGTGACCCTGCATAGGGTCCGAGGCTGTAGATCTTTACAGGAGCAGAAAGCCTCATCTTTCTCCTGTGGAATAGCTGGTAGTTTCAAACTGCTGACCCTGAGGTTAGCAGCCCCATTCATAACTACTACACTACCAGAGCTCCTTCAGAGGAGACAAAGCAGTTCTGCCTGTCTTGTTATACCCAACTGACAGACACAAGGGAAATAATGAGTAACTCTGAACCAAGCACCAGGTCATGGAGACCCACAGTTTCCCAAGGTTAAGTTGCCAACTGAATGTGACAATGATCTTGATTTAAATATCCTAAGTGTATATCTTAAAAGCCAGAGCATGACTCCTCCTTGAATACAGCATTTCTCTGCATTACTTTTTAAGTTCCTTATTGGGGTGAAGGAAGATGAAAGTGTAGGAGTAAGACTGACTCATTCATGCATGTTGATTTTTACTATAATATGAGGTGGCTTTTTTTTTTTTTTTCCTTAAAGAAGAGCAGAAGTTAGCCTTGAAACAAAAATAACTCCAGATCATCCATTTGGTAAAATTAATCTCAACTACATATATCATTATGATTAGATTTTCACAATGAAGAAATTGCCCTGAGCTATTGAGACAAGGTTTGGTGATGAAGTCTAGAAACATACTATAGATAAAATCATAACTACCAAGCCCAATTTATTATTACCTCTAAGGATTCAACTCACAAGGGATGACAGTCAACCATCTGACTCCCATGTTACAAGTAGAAGTGAATGTTTCCATGGATAAGATTATTTCTTTTAAACACGTACTACTGGTAGTATACATAGACTAAGCAGCAGTTGTTCTAACAGAAAAAGGGGACACTGAATGGCTTAAAGACAGGAAGTGTGCCTTGCTCTGCCCACCCCAATCACTTCCTTTACTGCCTTGTATATATCAAATAGTCAGCTAATTTTTGCTCAGTCAAATCCACCCAGGCCAAGTACTTGTGTTTCATAGCTTGGTTACTTTGGTTTGAGAAAACATGTGTTGTATTCTTTCACAAAATTTATTCAGTATGTTCTTGTTGTCGTGTTAGCTGCCATTGAGTAAGCACTGACTCATAGTGACCCTATGCACAAGAGATGATAAAGGATATTACAACAAGTCAGTATTAACTTTGAAACACCCTGCTTTTCTCTTCTCTCTAAATCCTCTGTCAAGAGAATCTGGTTACTCAAGTGGGTATCCCTTTTCCAGAATGGATGGAGACAAAAGTATATATTACGTGGCCAGAAGTATTCAAAATGGTCTGGGGAGTCTCTGGAACCCTTCTGAAGGATCTGTGTGGTCAAAATCATTTTCACAGTAATCCTAAGGTGTTTTTTTGTTTGTTTGTTTTATTTTTTTTAACTCTTTTTCTTTCACAAGAGTACAGTGGAGCTTTCTACAGGTTACATGACATGTGATAATGCCATCACTCTGGCAGCTAATGGAAGGTATGCTGGTATATTCTTGTGTTTTGAAAATGTCTCAATTTTTATTTATAATATGATAAATATTAACAGCTATGAGACACATTTTAAAAAGTTCTTTAGGTTTCTCAATGCTTAAGTGTGTAAAAGATTCCTACAACTAAAAAGTTTAAGAATTACTGATACAGACCCTCATCTTTTGTTATTATACCATTCAGTCACAATCCTGAGATTTCACAAGGCCATAGCCTTTTAAGGCATGGAAGGGATCCTTTTTATATGAGCCTTCCTGAAGCTAGGTACAGGGCATATGTGCCCGTACATATAATATTTATGAGTCTAGAGTTTTCCTTTGCCTCCCTCATACTGGTGACACATGGATTAGGAAGATGTGGAGGCTCACATTCTCAAACCAAATCAACAAGGTACAAAACGCAAGAACTTGGCACAGATTTGAATGAGCAAAGATTAGCTGACTATTTGATATATACAAAGCAGTAAAGGAAGTGACTGGGGAGGGCAGAGCAAGGCACTGGCTTCCTGGCCTCCTCAGGGTTGCAACAATTAATCATTTGCCACTCTCCAGTTTTGCATCATAGCATCCTGTCATTTGCCAGCATTAAAGAGATAGAGATAAGAGCAGAAGGGTGACCTCCATTTCTCTTCTTCTTTCCTAGGGACCCCACCCCCTGGGGTCATCTCTAGTCCCCTGTCTTGAAGGAATTGCTGAAATAACTTTCACAGAAAGTTCATGTCTTCAAAACAGAAGAATATTGTCGATTATAACACAGATGAAAAACTCTGACAAAATCAGAGGAGATACACGTATTTACATGGCTCTATTTTAATCAATATATTTTTGTAATCATGTAAATTAAGACATTTTGTCTTTGGGAGAAGTGGGAAGAAGAAAGTAGTAGCAAGAGCTAGACTACCAACAATTCTTAGGAACACAAAATTGAGTCATGTTATTGGGATGTATGAGGAGAAAGCCCAAGTGTCAGAGACTGGCTTGACGAGTGTGTTTCCTCTCTGGTAGTCTGGAGGAGATGAATTTAGACCACTCACCGCCTCTTGGTCTTGCCGATGGGCTCCTTTCTGGTTAATGAAGAGAGCTGCCTCTCCTGCAGAGTTTTGTATGCATCTGAGAGCAGGTCATGGAAGACAGCTGTCCTGGGACCCATAATGGGCAGTCTGTAGTGAATGTTCTCTGGAGGGCAATGCAAGAAAAGGACTGTTAAGTTCTATCCTCAAGGAAACTCAAAATAACTCAAGGACACCAAGACTTTTTTTTTTTTTTTTCTTTTTGGTAATCTTATGAAACAGATTCCAAATTCTCAGAAGACTCCTTTGAACAGAACCACCTTATCCCTCACAACAGTTGAAGTATAACAAATCTCATCCAAGAGACCAGGAAGGGGCACCTAGAGACATAAAACTCAAGAATTAGGAGCTATTGCCAATTAAACTGAAATGAAAATAAAACGTGTCTGGAATTGAAATGTGAGTCCAAGGGAAAAGAGGATTCAATTCTCAGGAGACTTTTCAGGGACCACACAGATAGTTCTGCCCTTAAAAAAAAAAAAATCAATAAAGCCAAACATAATCTTACAAAATAGGGAAAAAGTAGCTGCATTTCAAAAGGAAACTTTGGCTTATGAAATAACTTATTCTAGGAGTCTTTAAAATTCTTACCATCCTGACCTCTTTTTCAAAGATGATATTATTTACAAGAAGTTGGTTACTATTCAATGTTTTAGGAAGACACATCCTTTGAAGGAGAGTAAATCAGTACATGAATTAATACCTTTCCATTGGGAGTCTTTGATTAATTAATGGAATTGAAGTTCTGAATTCTTTGGAACAAATTCCTCAGTTTGGTTCATTGAGATTTTAGAGATGTTACAGAAACATACAAACCCAGAATCCAGTCTCATCCCTGTCATGAAGAGGAAAGAGAGGTCCAGGGTCACGGGCACTGATGGACTGAGGACCAGAACTCAGTACTCTATGTACCAGGTCACAGGTTAAGCACAAGACAGGTGGTTAGCAACTGAAGCAATATTCATCAAGACTAAATGTCATGCGATGCTTGACTCAAGGCAAATACAAATGAAACCAGAAGGAGTCCCCATCACTTGTGGAGAAAGGCTCTTTTCATTCCCTTGGTTCTCATTAAGAAGTGTTAGTAATGTATAAGGTTTAGCCAAAGCCAGAAAGAAAAAAAAAAAAAAATTCCACTGTTCTGACCAACAAAAGGAGCTAGAGAGCCACTGGCAGTAATGTTGGCTGGGATGAGTCAGCCGTGTGGTATTTGTAGCATGTCCACAGGGAACACAGTCCAGGTGGGTGACGGCTTCAGCAATAAGCAGCAAGTGCTGCAGTCTGAACATGTCTAGATATATAAACCAGTGAGGCTGGAGCAGTGTCAGCGGCTTTTCTGGGTTAGCCAAAGGTAAAGGCTGCTTGTGCTGATTGTCCAGCTCTCAGTGGGGCAAAACCGTTCTCTGATTTTACACATGGGAAAGAAAGCCCAGAGAGTTTGAACAACTTGGTTAAATCTAGACAGCAAGATGCTATAGGATAAGTACTGGACCCCAAGGTCATTTGAATCGCAAGGTCAGTGGTTCAAACTCACCAGCCTCTCCTCAGAAACCCTATACAGGGTAGCTATGAATTGGAACCAACTCAATGGCACTTAACAACAAACAACAACAATACAGAAAGGACTCTGGTGTGGCGCTGTAGGAAAAGTGTAGGACCGCAAGGTCGGTTTGAACCACAGGGTCAGGGGTTCAAACTCACCAGTCGCTCCTTGGAAACTCTATACTGGGTCGCTATGAGTTGGATCCAACTTGTGGGCACTTAACAACTACAACAACAACATACAGCAAGGTGACGATCTGATTCCAGGTTTCTTTGCTTCTAGACTAGTGCTTTTCCCATGATCTCAGAGAACATAAGACCAAAGTTTAACTCAGAAAGGAAGGTCACATTGCAGTTGACCATAGATCTGGTACTGATCAAGACTAGTTCTTTTATTGCTAATTGATGTACACTGCCAGGGCTAATAAACAGATGAAAGGCATCTGGTTACCCTGTCCTCCAGGGTCAGAAAATAACAATTATTGTTGAGAGAAGGGCATCTAATTGTGTGTGTGTGTGTGCGCACGCATGTGCACACACACAAGTATGTGGGAGGGGAGAAGGGCTGCTTCATCCCTTTGTGATGGCAGGCCTGAAAGAGTCCAGATCCAAGGGAAACTGAAAGAATGTGTGGCTGGGACAGAGATCCCTGAAACCAACTGTACACAGTTGTCACCTTATGTTTTCTTAGCTTCAAGAGAATGAGGAGGTCACAGACCAGAGAACAGCAGAGAGGGAATCTTTCTTTGGGTGAAGGTTCTTAGTTCATAGGCTCTTCTGTCTATTTGTCCAAATGAGAATGTTTATGGATACATAAGAATTGATTTATTGGGATGGACAGCCTTTTACTCCAGTAGAGCGGTATCTCCAAGCATCTGTTCTTATCTGAGAATCTGGTCCTTCTCCTTTTGGTATCCCCAACCCCAAGACATCCCCCTCTGTCCTCAAATTTCCTTTCTAGATGCCTTCTAAACTCAGTTCTGGCTCTTGCTCCTCTGCAACCTCACAAGATAGAGGTTACAGTTTCCTATCTTAATTTCCTTATTGTGTGTATCAAACGAAAGAAAGTCTTAGATGGTTTCAGTTACTATGGGAGCAAATGAGAAGATGGACAAAGTCATTTAAGGTGACGGCTATGCTGCACTAAATCCGCAAATTATATCACTTCAAAAATGGCCCTCTCTCAAATTCACAAGTTAGCTTCTCTAGAGAAGGAGATTAGACCAATGCTGAAGCTGGAGACAGATTCTACACCTTTTCTATTAATAGTAAACAAAGATAAGAAAGCAGTGGTCTGTTGTGAAAACTCAAGAAAAGGTTTTCGTACAAAAAGAAACATCCTTAGATGGTTACCAGGGGTGAGAGGGAAGGGAGAGTAATTCACTGGCTAGAGGGTACGCACACGTTAACTCAGGTAATGGAGAGGGCAATGTACAAGAAGAGAGAGGTGGCAGAAGAATGATGAAAATAGGTGAAGACACAGGGAGGTAAGCGAGGGCCAAAGGGGATAGAAGTAAATTCACAACCTCAGAATAACTATACATATTTATCTCATAGATCTATATATGAGTTTGGAAGAGGTTATTTGTACATGGGTAACCACAAGGAGGAAGTGAGACAACTGTTATTGCATGTAGGGGATTGCAATCATTGAGATAAAACAAAACTCATGGTTTGTTGAATGTTAAACCTATGGTCTTGTCAGTAAGCCTTCACTCAATTCACAATAAACAAACAAAAGAATAGCAATGGTCAGCTGCTGGAAGAAGGCAGGGATTTTAGGGAACCTGTGGCACTGTAGGATCAGCACTGGACTTCGAACCACAAAGTTGGCAGTTCAACCGCATCAGCTGCTCTTTGGAAACCCTCTCCAGGATAGCTGTGAGTTAGAACCGACTCAATGGCACTTAACAACAATAGCAGGGGTGAAAGGTTCAGGGCCCTGTAGAGACAATTCCAGGCATATGAGGATGCTGCTCCCTTCCCACCTTAATTGGTACCAGCAGAACTGCCTATGGAGGGACTGTTATCTAGTTTGTACCCCATACCCATGGACATTCCTCAGCAAGTAAATGGGGCTCTTTAGAAGGAATGAGGCAGAGTCATGACATAGATAAAAAGGACAAGTATACAGAAGGTGCTCTGGTAGCATAGCGGTTACGAATCGGGCTGCGAACTGCAAGGTCAGCAGTTCGAAACTACCAGCTGTTCTGCGGGAGAAAGATGAGGCTTTCTGTTCCCGTAAAGATTTACAGCCTCGGAAACCCTGTACAGTGTCGCTATAAATTAGAACTGACTCTACGGCACTTAACAACAACAACGATATACTGAAGAGGGGACGGGGGGGGGGGGGGGGGGGGCTGGAGAGAGTGGAAGGCTGAAATCCAGTCAAAGCAGGACAAAAAGCTACATGCACAAAAGAAAGGGATAAGGAATAGCAATTTGTTCAGAAAATTTAGAAATTATTTCAGGGATTACATTTTCATTCTCCCACCCTGTGCTAGTCAGTGTCATACTGAAAGTACTTCAAAAGAAGCCACACCTGTCAGAATGTCATCACGGGAACGTCTGTGTACAGTCTCGGTTCTTGGTGGGTGAAGACCCATCATCCTGATTGAAGGGAACAAGAACACACGTTGGTTAATTGGCTAGGGCTTTGTGGAACAGTCTGTGTCTTTATTTATTTGAAAACGCAAAGGGCCTCTTGAATCCAGCACCTGTTAAACTGGTGATCAGGTAGGTCATTTATAGCACTCTGGGATGACTGGGATTACTACTTATGAGGAAAAGCTGTTTTTACTTGGGACATTTTTGTAGATTTCAGGAAACTTTCATTTAAAAAAAAGGTTTTAGTCCACTATCAGAGCATGCAAGGTCTGGAGGTATTAAGTAAAATTTCCAGAAAAAAAAACAAAATAGCAACCTTTCCAGATCATTAATCTGTCCTTCAAGAGCAAAATTGAGAGGATATTTTGGTTGGAACCACTGTATAAGAGAACAAATTATTTTTATATTTGTTTAAATTGCTTTCCTGCCCCCCCCCCAACTGACAAATCTATTAACATTGATGATCTATCTAAGGCTCTACACTCACTTTATTTTTCAATTTTAATAAAGATTTTTCAAGAATAAGTACTGAACTGCAAGGTTATTTGAACAGAAAAGTCACTGGTTCAAACTCACCAGCCGCTCCTTGGAAACTATACAGGATCACTATGAGTTGGAACCAACTTGATGGCACTTCACAACAACAACACAGTAAGAAATAATATGGGGCTTCCCGTAAGATGACAGGCTAGCCAGACATGCTTACACAGACACGCTACGACAAATACAGGAGACCAATAAAACAGACACAGGGGACAATCCTGGAACCCTGAATTTCAGAGGAAAGGTTAGGGAAGTGAATTAAATACCTACTGGGAGGAGAAGCTGAGGAGGGGTGGCCAAAGGAGAAGACTGGTGAACGCAATGCCAGCTAGACATAGAACAGTCATCTTGAACTTTTAGGAGCAACTTTTTAGAGACAGATAGTCCAATGGCACATAGGCAACAGAAAGGGTATAATTCCTTCTTGTTTCCCACATTCTCCTGGATGATAGAGACCCTGCTCTCCTGGAGTTTAGAGGTGTGAGGTGGGCACCTGATTCACCGTGAACCCTCTTGGCACCTGGATTCAGGCAGACTCTTCTCCAGAGCTACAGAACTCATAGAGTCTCCAGGCCAGAATTAGGCTAGCAGAACCTTCATAACCAGCTACCCTGTCCCCAGCTGCCCTCTGGTTCTGATAGACACTGAAACTAGCAACCTGAAGGGCCTCCATGAACTGTATCTGGATTGTTGTTGTTAGGTGCCATCGAGTCGGTATCAACTCATAGCAACCCTGTGCGTAACAGAACGAAACACTGCCTGGTCCTGGGCCAACCTCACAATTGTTGCCATGCTTGAGTCCATTGAAGCTGCCACTTAGACAATCCATCTTGCTTGGATTGGGTGCCACAAATACAGACAATACTAGGTCTATGGGAATTCCATTAGGACTGGAACTTGGCTGTCACATCCATCCGTCCACCCATCACATGAGTTCTTTGGTTGGCAGGAGCCCCCCAGAGTTTTCTCCTCTTTGGGACCAACAACTGCACTGATTTTATTTGTTTTTCCTTTCACTGTTTCATTGTATTTGTTTGTTTATTCTTTCTTCTCCTTCTTTCTCTCTTTCCCTTCCCTTGATTGTTTTCCTTTTTTAATCTCTGATTTTGTTTTTATCTTCTTCTGTTTCTCATTTCCACCCATTTCTCCTTTTTTTCTTGTAATTTTTCTCTAGTACTCTCTAGTCTCTTTATCTTTTCCTCTTCCCTTTTTTTTTTCTTGTGTGTGTGTGTGTTTTCTTTTCTTTTATACTGTCCCATTTTCCCATCCATCTTTTTTCTTTTTAGTTATTATATTCTCTTTTTCTTGATGCTGTACATTTTTGTTTCTTGTTTCTCCTTTATTATAATCTATTTTTACTCTTTGCTTGTTCTATTTTTGTTTTCCTGTGTGTGTTTTCTCCTCAGCTTTACCCACTGGCCAAGAGCCAATGCCAATTCCTATACCATCTGATTAATGATAGACATCAGCCAACATGAGCCAAACCAACCCTAAACTGAGCTTCACAAATTGAATGGGAAATACCACATGACCCAGCAATCCCTCTACTTGTTAAATATCCCAAAGAAATAAGAGCCATGAGACAAATAGATATATGCACACCCATGGTCTTTGTAGCACTATTCACAGTTGTAAAAAGAATGGAGACAGCCTAAGTATCCATCAACAGAAGAATGGCTAAACAAACTTTGGTACATACATACAATGAAATACTACACAATGTTGAAGAATAATGACGAATTTTCAACACACTTCATACCATGGATGATCCTGGAAGCTATTATGCTGAGTGAAATCAGTCAATCATAAAAGGACAAATATTTTATCAGAAGAAGTTCTGATATGGCACTGTAGGATAAGCACTGGATGACTAAACACAAGGTCAACGGTTTAGTCACCAACTGCTCCTCGGAAACCCTACATAGGGTTGCTACGAGTCAGTCCCGATTCAGCGGCACTTAGCAACAACAACAAATTTTGTAAAAAGTTAAGAAAATATTTTCTTGCTAAAAGAAACATTCTATGATGGTTATTGAGGAGGGAGCGAAGGGAAAATTATTCACTGGACAGAGGGTAGAAAAGGAGCTCTGGTAGTGTAGTGGGTTACGAGTTGGGCAGTTAACAGCAAGGTCAACAGTTAGAATCTGCCAGCAACTCCATGGGAGAAAGATGAGGCTTTCAGCTCCCATAAAGATTTACAGCCTTAGGAACCCTATACGAGGTTGCCATGAGTCAGAACTACTCCACAGCACAAAATCACCAACACTAGAGGGTGTTGTTTTTGTTAGGTGCTGTCAAGTCAATTCAGACTCATAGTGATCTTATGCACAATACAAGGAAACACTGCCCGGTGGGTGCTGCACCAACCTTACAACTGTTGTTATGTTTGAGTCCACTGCTGCTGCCACAGTGCCAATTCATCTCACTGGGGGTCTTCCTCTTTTTTGCTGACCCTCTACTTTACCAAGCATGATGCCCTTCTCCATTAACTGGACTCTCTTGATAATATGTCTGAAGTGTGAGAGACAAAGCCTGACCATCCTGGCTTCTAAGGAGCATTCTGGCTGTACGTCTTCCCACGCAGATTGGTCTGTTCTTCTGGCAGTCCATGGGACTTTTAATATTCTTCTTCAACACCATAATGCAAATACATCAATTCTTCTATGGTCTTCTTTATTCATTGTCCAACTTTCACATGCATATGAAGTTATTGAAAAATAGCATGGCTTGGATCAGGCACACTTTAGTCCTCAAACTGACATCTTTGCTCTGGAAAACTTTATACAAAATCATGTAGCAGATTTACCTAATGCAATACACCATTTAATTTCTTTACTGCTTCTTCCATGAGTGTTGATAGTTGGTTCAGGTAAAACGAAGTCTTTGACAACTTCAGTCTTTTCTCCATTTATCTTGATTTATATATTGGTCCAGTGGTGAGGATTTTTGTTTTCTTTATTTTGAGGTGCCATCCATACTGAAGGCTGTGGTCTTGGATCTTCGTCAGTAAGTATTCTAAGTCCTCTTCACTTTCAGCAAGCTAGATGGAGTCATCTGTATATCTCAGGTTATTAATGAGTCTCCCTTAAACCCTGATGCCATACTTTTCTTCATGTAATCCAGCTTCTCGAAGCATTTTCTCAGTGTACAGATAGAGTAAGTATGGTGAAAGGCTACAACACTGGTGAACACCTTTCCTAATTTTAAACCATCCAGTGTTACCTTATTCTGTTGGGTCAACTGCCTCTTGGTCTATATTACAGGTTCCTCATGAGCACAGTGGATTATTCCAGAATACTCATTCTCTGAAATGTTGTTCATAGCTTGTCATGATCCATACACTCAAAAGCCTTTATAGTCAATAAGTCACAGGTAAACATCTTTCTGGGATTCTCTGCTTTCAGCTAAGACCCATCTGACATCAGCAATGATATTCCACAAGGTCAGCAGTTCAAATCTACCAGATGCTCCATAGGAAAAAAATGAGGCTTTCTGCTCCCATAACGATTTACAGCCTCGGAAATATACAGGGTGGCTATGAGTTAGAACTGACTCCTTGGCATATAATAACTACCATCATCACTAGATAAATCTCAAACAGAAGTGGCACATTTTCCTCCAGAATATGTAAAAATGACCGATCTTATACTTTTGATAGATATTGATTTGAGTTTAGGAGTGGTTCAACTTTAGATTTTTTGCTTTAAAGCGATAAGAATTCTTTGTTTAAAATAAAACCAACCAATGGTTCTGGGATTTTGGACTTCATTTAAATTACCACTCTAACAAGGCGAACAAAATGGGGCAATCAGTTTCAAAATGACACAGGAGAGTGAAACTTTTACTCTGAAATCCCTGGTTATAGATAGTCCAGTTATTTATGTAAAGTCCATAAATAACACACCAGGACTCCAGAATCAGTCTAGGTAAGTGTCATTAGCACTGGAGCCTGTATTACCCAGATTATCCAGCTCCTCTACCACCCTGTCTACCTGAGCCTGGTCCCTGGACATAGTTTCAGTCCATCTTCGTCTACATCACAGTCTGGAACAAATGCCCTTGAATTCACACAAGCAATTAGGACATTTGCTGCTTTGCAATGTAAGGTTACAAACAGATATTTATTTTTCCACATTATTGTTGTTTATATGACAAAAGAATATGTAAAGATTGCCATTAAATCACACATAATTTCTCTGGTTAGTCATCTATGAGTATAAGATTGGCTGTATGTCTACATTCCAACCATTTACGGCAAATTTACCTACACATGTGCCATTTACAAGGTGAATCCATGTGTTAGTTTTTGAAGAAAGTAAACATTGAGTCCTTCCCCCACTCCCCATCTGAGTTAAATATATGGAAACAACTGATTATTTATAATTCAGTGAATCAGATTTTTGACTGGAATTTATTTCTGTTGCACTTGGTCTTGATAAGAAAGCAGCAAATGACAACAAAGTAAACTGATAATAGGGATTTAGTTATTAAAAAGTAGCAGAGGTTGTCCTGAACTCAGGATAGATTATATGTAATCTCATATACCTTCTAGTTAGATATGTCATCTCGATGGGCAATTTGTATTTCGTTCTGCCTGAATTACCAAAGAAATCTTCTATCCTGTTCCTTATACTGTTCTTGTGAAGGTGGAAAGATAATATTTTCTACAATTTCAGTAGCAATTCAAGCAAAAACAAAGAAAAACATTTTTCGTTTTCACTACAGTTAGCCAGAAAATGAAACCAATCAAAAAAATCCATCCCCTAAGCATTCTCTAGGAGTCCTGGTGTGGCGCTGTGGGCTAATGTGTCAGACTGCAAAGTAGTTTGAACTTCAAGGTTGGTCGTTCAAGCTCACCAGCTGCTCCTTGGAAACCCCATACAGGGTTGCTATGGGTTGGAATCGACTCGATGGCACTTAACAACAACAAGAAGCATTCTCTAAGAATTCTTACTATGGTTCTAAATACATTGTCTTGTGTCCCCAAGCAAATATAACTAGAATTATAGTTAAGTCTTGATTTAAATCTTTGATTTACCTTTGATTCATAAAATTCTCAAGGGACAGTTTCAGATCATCTGGGATGAGTACAGTTCTTGGCTGTACCTGAGAAAGAAAGCCTTATTTAGAACATTACTCCAAACTGCTTTCTGTTGAACTAATATAATATACCACTGTAATGACTCTAAATTGTGTTCAGTTCCAAAATGGAATTACTTTATCAATTTCAACTTTGGATTGCTCATTGCTGGTATATAGAAAACAATCACAACAGAGCATATAGAAATATAATGAATTTTTATGCCTTATATCATACAATTTTACTGTATTCAATTATTACTTCTAATAGTTTTTGTGAGTTACTTAAAATTTTTTACATCTGGGACTAGAAAGTTTCATTTCTCCTTTTCCAGTCTGGATAACTTTCTTTTCCTTGCTTAGTTGCCCAGGCTAGAGACTCCGGTCACATGTTGAATAGAAGTGGTGAGAACAGACATCTTTACCTTGTTCTTGATCTTACTGGGAAAAGATCCCATCTTTTACCATTAAGTGTGATGTTAGCGGTGGATTTTTCACAGATGCTATATACCAAAATAGAAGAAGTCTTCTATTTTTCTTTATTCCCCAGCATCTCCAATCAACTCACTGCTAAGAATGGACTGTAGATATGTAGTCTTTCCCCCTGGAAGGACTTCGATGTGCTACTGCACACAGTGAGGTAAGGGTATTTCATGCTTTTTCCGTACATCTCTAAGTTTCCCACCTAGATCTGCAAGCACTGTGAGAGTAGCAGGAAACGGTTCCCTAGGCACTTTTATAGTTGAGGCCCTTTCCTTTAGAGACTGAAGCAGGGAAGGGACAAGTGTAAGAGCAATTTTCATAGAAAGGCTGTAAACACTAAAACCACAGTATATAGTTTCTATTCTGTCAAGCTTAGGCAAGGGCAAAGTATGGAGAGGTCTTGAGAAAAAGGACAGCTGCTGGAGTCCCAAGCAAGCCAACTGATCAAGGCCAGCTTAGGTCCAGGATCCATGTGTTCTAAATGTGGACACATGTGAAGTGATTCCAGGAGTAAGACCAGGAGAAATCCCAATCCTACTTTCCCAGACTCTAGTCAGTGTTAATACTGAACACTATGCTCGTATTTATGGACAAAATGTTCATTGACTGTAATATCTACATAGGCCTTTGCCAATGGCTTTGGTTAAATTTCCAAATCTCACACAAAAATTTCATGACACTGCTTCTTTCTTCCATATCTCACTAGCCTGAGGCACACACTTCTACCATGAACTCTCATTGAAGAAGCTTCTCTTATGTCTTTTGTGTTTCTTCCATCTCCTGTTCTTCTTATTGCATATCTAACCTTCTCTCTCTGAGTATGAGGAAACTCATAGCATCTCAAAGTCGAAGAGACCTTGCCTCAAACCTAATCATTTATCTAAGTTATCCCTCAACCTGAGTCTGATCCATACTCTGAGCTTAACAGCTGACACTACTTCTAACTCTGACCTCAGAAAGCCTCTTTCTTCTGCACCTCTAATAGATGGCAGAAGTTTGTCCTTGCCTCCTCCACATTCCTTTTGAGAGCCTTCCTTTTTCCTAATACTGCCCCCATCCTGTCCCGCCACCAATGATAGAAATACAGGGTATATGACATTCCCCACTAGCTAGAAAGTCCTATAGAGAGAATCTCTCTGCACAGTTATTTCCTGGAGGTGCTGACTGAATTAATGATGAACCCAGAGATTAAGCTGCTTGTTTCACGACTGTAATTGTGGATAAGAAGTGTGTGTGTGTGTGTGTGTGTGTGTGCATGTCTGGGTGCACACCTGTACATGTGTTGTATTGGGGAGATATTAAAGGGGAGGAGGCAGGCCCCTGAACCTGAATCCTATGACGGTGCAGTCATCCTAGAAATCCAAAACAGGGCAGTTCATCTCATCTCATTTCTTCTTCTCTGGCTCACCTACCTTGGGTCACCTCTGGCTTGATGGAAGTAGGGAAGGTTTATCATATAGTTTCTGTTGCTGGTTGCAGCCCATTGCAAGGCCTTCAATACCCGCCCCCACTCCCAGGGCTTCACTACAGTGGTGAGGGGCAGAGCTCTGCCCTGGGGATGCCTGTACACAACTCTTACGTCCACCCCCTTTGCCTACCATTTTTATTTCTCGACATGTGTCACACAGCCGCCTGTTTCTGAGCATCACAGAGTTACTTTGCTCTCTGCTTGCCTGTAGGGAAAGACACAGAGAGAGATGAGGAAATGGTAAGGCACCTGGGGTAACAAACAAGTGGGAAAAGAGTGGAAAAAGGGAGGGAGGTAACAGTTATTCCTTTCCCAAAACAGAGATGGACCTTTGGGTCTCAGCCCCCATCCAGGGTGGATGTTGAGTCTGAAGTTGGCTACATGGTCGGTCGATTCAGAAAGAATTTAGGCAGAAAAGAGTGAGCTGCAGATGAGATGGTGATCTTAGATCCCTGTACACAGTGAAACGTATAAAGACAGCTGGCTGAGGGGCTGTGACTAGGACTACAATCTAGCGGGGATTCTGCTCCTCAGAGCACCTGTGACCTGTAACTTCCCATATACTATCCCCATTGCCATGGAGTTGATTCCAATTCAGAGACGCTATTTCCAAAACTATAAATCTTTAAGGAGGTAGAAAGCCTCATCTTTCTCCTATGGAGTGGCTGAGGGATGTGAACTTCCAACCTTGCAGTTAGCAGTCCAACCTCTAATCTGAGTTCCCTATAGGTACTATATTTCCTCAAAATTACAAAAAGACACTGCCATCTGGAGTAGCAGAGGATCTCTAATTGCCAAAAAAAACAATGAAGAGAAGACGTCTCGCCTGCAAACCTCTTTCCTTACCCTTCCCAGCTATCACCCTCTTTTCTCAGGTCTTACTCTGGTCCCATAACCATTTGCAAGTGTGTTGGTCAGCACCTCTTTAACCCATTTTCACCTCCTGGGCACTCAAATAAAGCCATGAACAGAGCTCCAGCTGGTGTGTGGGTAATGTACCCCCCTCCCTCTGAGAGCAGAGACTGCTTTCAAGGGCAAAGCAATTATCAATGGAGAGAGGGTGAAAGTACTCTGTCTGCCTGGCTGTACACTGCTTTCTCTGCCCAAAAGAGTGACAGAGAGCTTAGGAGCACTCACACAGGCTTTTGTTTGCATCTCTGGTAAAAGGTTTGGTTCAGGAGCAAATGAGAGCATGTGGCCAAAATGATGCTTCATGGTTTTTCTCTCACCCTTCTCTCCTTATTCACTGGCATCAGCAGATATGAGCCATGTAAATTATGAGGGTGCAGTGAGAAGCAGATAGGACTATCCACTGGAATCTGCTCCTTCTGTTTGATCAGCTGGTTGACCTGCAGTGTACAGAAATAAAAATGCATGCAGGTCTGTTCCTGCTATCCTGGAGACTTCCTGTTCTGGTACATTTGGGGAACAAGAAGAAGGGGTATAAGCAGCATCGCAAAAAACACACAGTAAAATGACAGCAATCAATTCGTGTTGTTGTCATTATGTGCCGTGGAGTCAGTTCCAACTCATAGTGACCCTGCACAGGGTTTCTGAGGCTATAAATCTTTACGGGAGAAGAATGTCTCATCTTTCTCCTGAGGAACCACTGGTAGTTTCGAACTGCTGACCTTGAGGTTGGCAGCCCGACTCGTGACTACTACACTACCACAGCAATTCATACCTATCAATAATTACACTGAACGTCAGTGGATTCAATGCATCAGTCAAGAGACAGAGAGAGCAGAATGGATAAGAAAATAGGATCCTTCAATATGCTGCCTACAAGAAACACATCCAAAAGATGGAGACGGCCTAAATGCTCATCAACAGAAGAATGCTCAAACATACTTTGGTACGTACACACTGTGGAATATTACGTACATTGAAAAATAATGGTGAATCTGCAAAACACCTCAAAACATGGATGAACCTGTAGGACATTATGCTGAGTGAAATCAGTCAACCACCAAAGGACCAATGTTGTATGAGACCAGTGTTATAAAAAGAAAAGATTTTCTTGATAAAAAGAAACTATCTATAATGATTATAGGGGGAGAGGGGAGGGAAAATTATTCATGGACTAGAGGGTAGATTCATTAACTTGAGTTACAGGGCAGGCAATATACAACAAGAGTGAGGTTAGTAGAGGACAGGTGACAGTAGTAGGAGACACAAGGAGGAAGGTGATGGTCTGAGCGAATGCAGGCGGCTCCTGTTGATTGCTGGTGCATGGAGGGGATTGGTGGTGTGATGGAGTCAAGTGTCGGATTTTTTGAGTGTGGAACTGATGGTCTGCTCTGTGAACCTTCACTCAATTCCCAATGGGAAGTTGAAAAGAACATAAGAAAGGGAATAGAGCCATATGGCCCGGGGAGGGTGCTTGGGGTGCTCTTGAGGTGGCCTTTTGGCAGGGGTCAGCAAGTAGCCTCCTACTGTGATAGCCATATAGTGCTTGGATGGGACAGTACTGAGGTTAAGAGGACTGAAAACGCTTGACAAAGTTGGAATCTTCGACAAATATTTAAAATACTTTTCATTTTTATAGGGTATTTTAAAAGAATCAGCTCAGTATTACAGTGTTGTGGGTTGCTATGTTTAAGTCTGAGCAGGAATGACTAGACTCATTCATTTAACAACAAACATTTATTGTGGTGTCACCATGTGGAGGGCACTGTGATGGGGCCACAAAGATGAATAAGCCAAAGTCCCCGGCCCTATGGAAAACAAGGGAAGAATACAAATGCATTATTTGCTCATTCAATTAGGAACTGGGGACATTCAGATGACTAAGACACAGCTTCCAACCTCAGGCTGCTAACCATCCAGCAAGTTGCGTACCAAGAAGTACAATGGTGTTGGTGGTGCAATGGCAGAAACAGATTGATGCCAAAGTAAAACTGAAAGAGGTTGTTGAGCTCACCTGGGTGGGGTCTGGAACAGAGAGGGAAGACTCAGAGAAGAATTCACAAAGCAGGGAAGCTTGAATAAGTGTTTGTGAAGTGAACAAGGATGGAGCGGGCATTCCAAACCCAAGAAACACTGTGCAAACAATATGGAAGACTAACCTAGCCAATCAGCTCTAGTTAACTGATCCTTTGGAATGGCTAGAATGGGAAGAGGGAGGTAGCGAGGAGAAAGGCAAGAGAGGAAATGTCTGTAAGTATGAGCCCCTTTGCTTCTGGACTGATTCAAGCTTCTACCACATGTTCCTTGAGGCCCAAGGTGGAGCTCAGCAGCTCAGACTTCTCCTTCATCCCTCATCTCTGAGGCATGAGATTCACATCCCTTTCTGAAACTGCGACTCAAGTTTGGATGTTTTGGGTATCAGAGAGGAGGCCATGGTAGCTATGGTTCTTCAGAAAAGTGGAAGATTACTTCTGAGGGGAGGAGTCAGGAAAGGCTTCCTGGAATTGAGTGGCATTTGCGCTTGGTCTGAGAGGAGGAAGAGGAATTGGGCAGGTAGAAGGGAGCATGGGAGAATCCTTAGATAGACATGCTTTTACCAGAGTTATAAGCACATTCTTGTCTTCCCTGCACTTGATTCCTTCTCCTTTACCAGACTTCAGGTTTCTGCAACACACTACAAGCCCCTGCAGGGACTGGGATCACAGTGTAAATCAAACAACAGATATATTTGGGGAAGCTCCAAGGTACATGGCAAGTTCTTGCCAGGTTAATGGCCAACTGTAAATGTGACTCCAGAGTCTGATAACCACAATGACTACAGCTTCATCCTTGGAACTCAAAGGACCAATTGCTTTATATATTATCCTGCCCAGCCTGGTTAACTCCTCATCCGTTTAGCCATAGCTCAGGTGTTACTTTCTTTAAAAACCTTTCTTCTTTCCCACCTCTCATCTCTTAACTCCCTCAGCTGAGTTGGGTGTCTGCCTCTCTGATTCCATCATAGTTTTGGCATAGCTTCCATTGCATTTTGTACTGATATTCTTATTTTGGTGTATTTATTTTTTCCACTAGACTAAGAATTCTGTAAGAGCAAAGATCATGTCATGCTCCTCTTGGTAGTCTTAGAGTTTATTACAATCCCTGGCACACAATATACACTCAACAAAAGTTAGTTGAATGAATGAGCCATTGTAGGTATTTTAAGCTACCTGGGAGCTGGGTAGCCCTGGTGACATAGTGGTGAAAGGGCTTAACTATGAACCAAAAGGTCAGTGGTTCAAGCCCACCAGCTAATTCATGAGAGAAAGGTATACTCCCATGAAGAATTACAGCCTTAGAAACACTATGGGCAGTTTTACTTAGTCCTATAGAGTCTCTATGAGTTGGAATGTACTCTGTAGCAGTGGTTTGGGATTGAATAGAAATATAGATATAACCAACATGTTATTGTTGGTAAGGTGGTTTCAACTCATAGCAACCCTCTATAGGGTTTTTGAGGAGCAGCTGGTGGATTTGAGCTGCCGATCTTGCAGTTAGCAGTCCAATGCTGACTCTACAGCATCACATCAGGACTCTACCTAATACACAAAATATAAACATGTGTGAAGACCACTCTTATAATGCTGTCTCCTGGGAAGCATTATATGATGCTACTGTGTTATAACGTGCTAGGGAAGATCATTGGCTAGGAATCCAAAGAGCTCTGTTCTAGACCTGGAACTATGAGCAACTGGAGTGAGTTTGGTCAATCACGGAAACTCCTGGGGTTCTCCTCCTCTACCAATAGTGGTCTCTGTGGCCAAAAAGACAGAGCAGTAGCCAGATCCCGCCTATGCTTTACATGAGGAGGTGAAAATCGACCTTTGATCTGTGACTTCTCTCATGTCTGCCAGGAATGTGGTAATGATGTCAGCTTCAGACTCACAGTCACCTCCTCCATACATGGGGAGGAGGATGAGAGCCCTGGGGAAGACCTGCCTATACAGGCTACAAACAATTCCATGTTCTGTAGGCCTCAGATCCCTCCTTCCTGTCTCACTTTCCTTCTCAGCTTTGCGTCTCTATCCCTCCCTGTTCATTATCACTGGTACTTTCATTAAAGCCAGCTCAGCAGCAGTTGCAGAAATCAGATTGAGTTGGCCAGAGACTCACAGCACAAGTCCCTGGTGATAGCATCTTTGGAATCAAAGTCGCCAAAAGAAGAGGCTCTGAAATCTTAACGGGGCTCTCACTTTCCAAGCAGCTGTCCTTAAGACAACAAATGACAGTTATGGTAGGAGAGTGACAGCAACCTAT